AGAAATGACTCAGAAGAGACACAGAGTCAATCTTAGAATTTTCGTCCAGAGGCTTTAATAGATAATACCCACCCTAACTTTACCAAAAACTGTAATTGCCAAGACTAGAAACAGTTAAAAATGACTAAGGGCTATCAGGATTCTGACTTATGGTTTGCTATTCTTTCACATTATATACTGCTTCATATAGAAAGCTTCATGTAGTCAGGGTTTCATAGGTATCTTTTGACAGGGGTTGATTCAATTTTATTTTGAATGACACAGTAATTTCACATTCATAGAAGTATGAGTAATTTCTAAATACTAATACTATTTCAATTAGGCTCCCACAACATAGGGAGGTTTACTGTCAAGATCAATAAAGGTATGGTCCTTTGGCACATACATGGGTAGAAGACCAAAGCATTTTATCTGAACAAATCTCCAAACTGCCTTTGTACTCAACTAGGGGAAAATAACAGAAAAATCCTGTATATATATTGCCTATACCCTAACTGGTATTGGAAATAAATTCTTGACTCAGCTGGGTTTGTTAATTTAAGTCAACATTTCTTCAAATTCATGTAAAAGCATTTAAGAACTATTTGTGCCACTTGAAGAAAATTTGTCCCAATTTTTCATTATTAGGTTTTTATTATTTGGCTAAATAATTAGTTCCCTACTTTTATGGAACAAAGAGAATAAAATATACCTTGATACTCTGTAGGGTACATAAGTGTGGTGGTTGATTTTTTTTGAGACAGGGTCTCCCGGTAGCCCCAGCTGTCCTGGAACTCACTATGTAGACCAGATTGGCCTCGAACTCACAAAGATCCACCTGCCTCTGCCTCCCAAGTGTTGGGATTAAAGACGTGCGCTGGGTGTAGTGGTTGATTTTAATGTCAACTTGTGACAAATTAAAATCACCTGAGTAGAAAGCCTTACCTGAGGAATTTTCCTGATTGCCTTAATTGATATGGAAGTCTCACAATGTGGGCAGCATGTTTTGGTCACAGCTCAGATAAAAAAGGGTACAGCAGAAGGATTATTCATCCTAACAGTTCTGTTCCTAAAGGGAACCCTGACTAATACAATAAAATAAATTTCTCATTTTGATCATGTTGGGATGGTGAAATGTGGGGAAAATAAGGTAAAAAAAATAAAGTAAAAGAAGAAACTATGTTTACATATGAAAATGTTAACTACTGGGTCAGAAATCTACAAATGAAAACAGAAATTGCTTAATTTCCTAGTCAATTTTGCTCTTATATAAGGAAACAAATATAAAGCATATTCTTTAAACCCTGACATAAAAAATTTAGCAAGCTACAGTCTGTAGACAACTTTTTAATTTTATTTTTAATTCATTCATTTATTTTATGTGTATGACTGTTTTGCCTGCAGGCATATGTGCCTGTCATATATGTGCAATGCCCAAGAAGAGGAGCGTGTCAGATCCCTTGGAAACGGAGTTAAGGATGAGTGTTAGTGAGTGCTGGGAACTGAACCCAGGTCCTCTGGAAAAGTAGTAAGTGCTCTTAATTACCGAGCAATTTCTCCAGCTTCTAGATGACATTTTTGTGTGTGTGTGTGTGTGTGTGTATAAGTGTTATGCCTGCATGTATGTAAGTGTACCTGTGTAGGACAGAAGAGGGAGTCAGATCCTTTGGAATTGGAGTTACAGATGGTTGTTAGCGACCATGTGGGTGCTGCAATTTGAATCCAGGTCATTTGCAAGGCCAGTGCTCTTAACCACTGAACCATCTCTCCATCCCCTAGATTACAATTAAAAAAAAAAACAAAACAGAGCTGGGCGTGGTGGGCACGCCTTTAATCCCAGCACTCTGGAGGCAGAGGCAGGATCTCTGTGAGTTTAAGACCAGCCTGGTATACATAGCAAGTTCCAGGACAGCTGCGGCTACAGGGAGACCCTGTCTCAAAAAAGACCAAACACACCCCCCCCCAAAAAAAAACAAACCGTCAAAACCCACAAAACAAACCGGTTTCACCTCCCATTGATTCTATTAAAAGGTTTAATATAATTACCAGCATAATAGCTGGTGCTTGTGCTCCTGAACATTTTTTTAAAGGGAACTTTTCTATTATATTTATGGGTACAACAAAGTTATTTTTCATTTCAGATAAGAATGCTTTGAAGATTATTTCTCCTTTAATCTTCAAATTGAATGAGACATAATTTAAGCAGTAAGCTATTAGGATAATGCAGAAAATAACGTCAAACTCTTGTCATAAAATATTTTAAGACTCTTATCTTAGGTGTCAAACAATGTCAGAAATTATTCAAAGGCATGTGCCTGTGCCATCTAGACCCAATTTGACTTATTGTTTCTTTCTTTTTCATTATAATTAACAGGAAAAACTCACAACTAAACAATCATAAATATTAAACACCAATCTGTCACAAAGATATTTCTGTCCCTGTGTAGGCATTTTTGTTTTACATTAAGTAGGAATATATGTATTTGCAGATGTAATTTAACTAGCACTTCAGTTCCAATCTGTGATTTAACGTTTTATTTATTTAATTATTTTTTTTAGACAGTGTCTCCTGTAGTCCCAGCCAGCCTGGAACTCACTATGTAGACCAGCTGGCCTCCATCTCTGCCTACCTCTGCCTCCTGAGGGCTGGCATTAAAGGTGTGAGCCACCATCCTAGCTTAGGACTATTTATTTATAAAAAAATCATTGTGACATCAGGGCTGGGCTTAGCAACAGAATCCCTGCCTAGCACAGGCAAAGCCTTGAGTTCCATCCTCAGCACCTGAGGGGGGGAAAAAAGAACAAAAACAAAACAAATCATGAGAAGAACTGTTATGATTTAAGAAGGGGGGAAAAATCAGACAAACTATACAAGAAGTCAATCATTTCTGCCCTAAGCTCAGAAAAATAATTTCTTTACTATAACTTTTTTAGTTTGATTTTTGAGAGATGGTGCTAATATATAACACAGGCAGGCTTTGACCCTGTAATCCTAATATTAGCTTCCACAGTGCTGGGATTATAGGCATGTGACACTTAGGCCCAGATATAAATAATTTCTATTAGAAGAAAATAATCTTGTATATGATACTAAATGAGCAGTATCATGACCAATGTTCTTATGTATCAACAACTTTAAAAATTTAAAAATTATTATTGGGAGTTTGATAAGGTGGTTGGGAATGGAGTTGTTTCTCGCCCTCCCACCTTTACATGGGTTCTGGGTGTGGAACTCAGGCTGCTAGGCTTGTGCAGCAAGCACCTTTACCTGCTGAGCCATCTTGATAACCAAAACCAACTTTTGATGTCTTGTGAAATAAAAGCATACAATGGCTTATATTGTTTGACATAGGCTATATTTTTCTTTAAATATTTTATTTATTAGTTTTACTTTGTGTGTATGTATATATTGCCTGCATGTATGTAAGTGCACCTGTGTCATGCAATGTTTTTGGAGGACAGAAGAGGCTGTCAGATCTCCTGGAGTTACTGACAACTGTTAGCTGCCACGTGGTGTTGGGATTTGAACGTGGGTCTTGTGTAAGATTCCTAACCACTGAACCATCTTGCCAACCCCAACATGGGCTGTATTATTAGCCTTCAGGTAAATCTGACACTAAAAGGAGTCACATTTGAGACAGAACAAATTCTAACTTAGCTAAAGTATCCTTTGGAAGAACATCTGTCACACATACAACAGAGAAGAACCTGCATACTAAGAACAAGAAAATGTCAGGGGATAAATAATTAAGGACATGAAAGTTCCCCTGTGGGATAATGCCAAGTATGCTTCTTATCTGGTGAGAAGCTGGTGAATGACAAGGAACCACTGGAGACTGTACCAGTATGGAGAAAGGCTAGTAAAGAAGTAACCTTCAAGAGTTAACATACAGCACTGAGAGCTACAGATTCCTTTGAGTAGGTGGAGGTGAAGTGCCTCTATGATGCACACAGTCTGTGCACCTTGAACAGTGACAAATAGTTAGAAATGGTCTACAGAAATCTGTCATAAAATCTTACTTTAACTCTTCAAATTATATAACACAGGCTAGATAAACACCTTATTAAACATTTGCAACAGAAGGACACAACTAGGTAGGAAGCATATAGAGAAATGAGCTCATTAGAATTAGTAAGACAGTACTTTCTGTGTGTGGTATGTGTATAGGTGCACATGTGTGTGCAGGAGCATTTGTAAACCAGAGGTTATTTTTGGGCGTTTCCTCAAGAGCTGATCACTTTGTTTCTTAAAACAGGTCTCAGTGGCCCTCACCACACCAATTAGGGTAGGATGGCTGTCCCATCTTACCAGTACTAGGATTACCAAGTATAACACTGTGTGCCCTGTTTGTTATATAGGTGCCAGGAACTGAACTCAGATGTTCGTCTTGCAAAGCAAGCACTTTTTACCTGTTGAGCCATCTCAACCCATAGGCAGTATTTAAAACTGAAATCACAGTTGTTTTCACTGAATTCTTGCAGAAAAATTTTAAAAAGGGACAAAAGGAGTTTTATTACTTTTCATATGCCTAACATTAAAGTCCATTTGTTTCTTTGTCACCAAATAATTAACAAACTGAAAACAAAACAGAAAATATGTGTAGAACAGACATCTCTGCCATTAAAGTATCACCCACTCAACTAAAGGTTTAATTTTACCAAATTTAGGCGGCTCTGGTCTTTGCTTCCAGTTAGCTATCTGCAAACCATCTGATCTTGCCTCTCTCTATCACTCCCATCTGGAGATAATCAGGATGCAAAGAGGGTTTCCATCATCATGGTAGTAAGGACTCAGCAGCTGTTCACTACACTATTGGTCTTGCAGAGCCCATTGGAGCTCCCAGCCCTTTATCATTCACATCTGTAGAGTTTTCTGGAAAAATATAAAATGTGTCTACTCTTTTAAATCTGACTGGCTTACACACTCACATGCACATATTTGAGATCCTTGGCAGACTGAGCATGATAGTATCTTAATGTTAAGACTGAAATAAGAATCATGGCGTCGGAATATGACTCACCTGTCTGCTGTGCAGGTTGTGGCAGTGGTTGGTTTAGATGTGAACTGTAATGGACAGAAGGGACAGGGCGGTACTGAGGCTGGCTGGAGTGATAGTGGCCAGGTGCACAGTAACAGGCTGGCATCTAGGATTGTAAGAAGTGAGGATAGAAATTAGTTTTACTTCCAAGAGAAATTTTTTTTCTCTGAGTACTAATTCTGGTACCAACAACTGGCAAACCAATTAAGTTTTAAATTTAGCTGGGAAAATTAAGTTGAGATCGAGGGTATCTTTAAAAAGGTATTTACTACTATGCCCACCAATCACACTTAGATTTTCATTTCACTACCATATTTGTTTCACTAACCCCCCAAACCAAATTTACTTTGCTGAAATACCACCGAAAATACCACGCCAATTTCTTTGTTCTACTTTTCATAGAAAAATCATTATCCTGTAGTTGGTGTATATCATTCCTATAAATGCTTTTCACCTTTTGCTATAGGCCCACACTATTCACACATTTCTGAGTATTTAAAAATTTACTTTATGGTATTTTACAACGTATAGTTCTTGAAACTTACTTTGAAATTAATATTGTTTTGAGACATGTCTTTTTTGAAACATATATTGCTAACCCAAACTGTTTAACAGGACTCCTCCTATAATAAACCAGGTTATTCATTCCTATACTAACGAACTATTTCCATTCTTTATTCTTTTTCACATTTCTAATCAAATTAAAATGCTAAGAAGATTAGCTTGCATTATTTTTTTTTCTTCCAGAGACACTTATGCCTATTGTAAATTCCTCCCTCCCTCTTTCTTTTTTTGACTTTTTGAGATAAGATCTCTCTACCTAGCCTTGGCTGGTCTCGAACTTACAGAAATTCATACCTTCTCTGCCTCATGAATGCTGGGATTAAAGGTGTGTGCTGCCATATTTGGCTTTAATTCTTTTAGGTTAATCTAACCTAGAATATTCTAGTGTTGTAGAAGTCTGCACAAATTTTAGATGCTGATAAGGCCCCTCAGGGTCTACTTTTTTTTTTTTTTTTTAATTAGCTTTACTTCCAAAAAGACTTATCTAGGGCTAGCAAGGTGACTCTGTGGGTATATGTACTTGTCACCAAGCTTGAAGACATGAGTTCCATCCCTGGGAACTACATGACAGAAGGAGAAAACTCACTTCCTCAGGTTGCCCTCTCACTTCCACATGTCTACCGCACATAAACACACACAAAGTTAAATAAATGAAAATTTAAAAATTGTACCTACAATAATTTTAAAAAGGGTCTAACTCATCTGAAAGCCAACACAGCAAAAATTTCTAGAGATACAAGAGTCTACATTAGCTAAAAGCTAAAATCGCTGTTTGTGGTAGTTTTCCTGTCCTCAAAACTTTAAATATAGTATATATGGGATACCTTAATTTTTCTTAAGAGATATCAGCAAGTAACAAGTAAATCCCAAACTAAGATCTTACTTATGGCACTCCTGCAGGAAAGAGAACACCCTAGATTGTCCTATAGACAAGGAGTTGTATGTACTGCAGCTGCATCTTGGTAAATGTGACCATCAGCCCTCTACCATGGGAATACTACAAGCTGGTCACATAAACATGAGAACAAAGAGAGCACAGTTTGATTAGCAGCCAGAAAGATATCTGTAGGTTGATGACTAGTAGGCTAATGGCTAGCAGACAATCAAGGCCAGAAGCTAATAATGCAGAAGTCAGAGACAGACAGGGGATGCTTCAACCACTTCTAGCTGGTGAGCAGCATGTGAACAGGGCATGATCATCTTCCTGGATGGGCCAGGACATGCACAGTATGTTAGCCCCATGGCTCAAACTATGACATGCCCAGAGAATTAACCAACTGTAACAGAAATTACTCCAGTCTCTGTCCAGTTTCTTCTTTCAATCCTATTATTACTGGGACCTAAAAGCACATAGACAACCAGTTGAACTTTCTTCTCTCTCTTTTGGGAAAACCTCTTCTTCCACTCTCAGGAGTTTTTTCTCTTACTTTTTCTTAATTTCTGTGTCTTTAATCAATCATCATTGGTGTGAAATGCCCAACTTAAGAGGTACTTCTCAGGTTGACTTTTGGTACCCTTGAGTTTCAGATACTTTGAGTTCCTGGGTCAAAGATCTACAGATCTGAACCATTAGGGCTAGAAGGGCTCTTCCCTGACTTAAGCAGGATATATATATAAAGCCTATAAATAATATCACACTTAAAGATGGAAAAATGTTTTCATAAAAGGCTGGAAACAAAGCAAGAAACCACAGGGGTTTCTTTTTTTGGTCTTTTTGAGACAAGGTCTTCTAGTAGGCCCAGCTGGCCTGAACTCAGAGTGCAGACCAGGCAGGCCTCAAACTCTCAGAGAGCTGCCTGCCTCTGCCTCCTGAGTGCTGGGATTAAAGGCTAGTGTGCTACCATGCCTGGCTGAAACTGAATTTTTCAAGATTTCTATCCTACACTGCACTGAAGCTTCCAGCTAGTGCCACAGGAAAGAAAAATAAAAGGTAGACTGGAAACAATTTGTATGGTAAAATGATATAGCAGATCTATAAAACCAACTAACCAACCAACCAACCAAATAATAAACACCCTTCACTTTAATAACTAAATAAAAAGGTCACAGGAGGGGCTAGAGATGTGGCTCTGTGGTTAAGAACAGTGGTTGTTCTTGCAGAGGGCCTGGGTTTGGTTCCCAGCACCCACATGATGGCTAACAACCACTGATTACTTCAGTGCCTTCTTTTGCCCCCCCCAGCACTCGGGAGGCAGAGGCAGGTGGATCTCTGTGAGTTTGAGGCCAGCCTGGCCTACATGGTGAGTTCCAGGACAGCTGGTGCTACAGGGAGACTTAAAATAAGTTTAAAAAAAAAAAGGCCATAGGAATGTTGATATAGCTTAATTGGTAGGATGCTCTCTTAGTATGTGTAAAAATCACTGCTTGAATTTAAAATGACTGCTTTAAAAAACAAAAAAAAGGCAAAACCCCAACAAAGTAAGCTAAAACGTACCCAACCACCAACTCCTCCCAAAACAAAACCCCTCAAACCCCACAAAGAACTAGAGTTATAGCATACAAGTGAGTACCCATGGGAAGGTGTTATGTGACTTTTCCTAGAGATGTGAACACATGTCTATTCACCTCATAAGTAGCCCAGAGAGAGCACCAGCAACAGACCAAAGAAATGATTCTACCAAGTTTGGCTTAGTGAACTAGTAAATTTAGTGTGGTTACTTAAAGGAGTACAGAATACAGGAACAACAGGAGAGAATGAAAGTGACCACATCCGACCTCAACAGACTAGACTGTGTTTATTAGCATAATGAGGTGCAGCAACCTTCCTGTGGGATGGAGGCTACTGCAAGGGGCACAGGGGCTGCTCAGAGGCTTATATAGGGACAGAAGCTATAAGGGGATTTTTGTGGGGACAGCTGCTACAGGAGAGACAGAGGCTGCACAGAAGATTTATTTTTGGCCATTCTTGTGGTTTCTCTTGGGACTCATCTATGTCTGGACACCCAGGCAGGGGGAAAGAGGAAACTCCTAATATAAAACTGGATGGTCAGAGAACCCTGTGTTCTGTGGTCAGAGCTCCTATGTTGTGCCAATTTCCTTCAGCATGGAGGACTAAAAGGAGGCTGTACTACTGAAAGTTCACCCCATACCATGGTTAAAGTCACTTAGAAGAAAATAATTTTATTTCAATGACAATTTCACAAATATTTTTGAGTTTTTCTCTTTTTTTTTGGTCTTTTTGAGACAGGGTCTCCCTGCAGCCCCAGCTGGCCTGGAACTCACTATGTAGACTAGGTTCACCTTGAACTCACAAAGATCCACCTGCCTCTGCCTCCCAAGTGCTGGGATTAAAGGCGTGTGCCACCAAGTCCAGCCCTGAGCTTTTCTATTACTCTTTTCAGGGTGTTTCCAACCTTTGCAAAACACAGTATTTTTCTCTCTTTTACAGGCTGCAAGTAATTTTGGAGCTCCTTGAACAACTTAAGGCAGTTCAAAAATGTGGATGGAGAATCTATTCTCAGCAAATATTACTGTAACCTTAGGGAGGAGCACTGTGAATCTTCTGAGTTTTATTTATTTCCTAAGCTTTGTAAGTTTTGTTTATTTCCCCAGTCTTTTAAGGCTGCTTCCCCACAGGAGGAAATGTTTCAAATCAGAGTAGACAGCCAAACAATAGGGGTAGGGAGGGAGTATATAAGCTATAAAATCTATATGCCCATATTACCATTTTTTGTAAACAAACAAAAAATGAAATTCAAATAGAATTCTTTTTACAGTAGCACCTAGGAAAATTAAATGCTTAGGGATATAAATAAAATGTATAATGTCTATATAATGGAAACTAAAAAACACTGTTGAGAAAAATTAAGATCTAAGTAAGTGCATAGAGGTTTGTTCTTGAACTGGAAAGTTGATTCTGCTATTAATTGTTTAAACTGGTCTATTCTTAAAATGCTACCATTAAAATCTTATAGTTCAGCTGGGCATGGTAGTGCACACCTTTAATCCCAGCACTTGGGAGGCAGGGCAGGTGGAGCTCTGTGAGTTCCAGGCCAGCTGGGGCTACAGGGAGACCCTATCTCAGAAAGACCAAAAAAACAAACAAAACCACAACAAAAAATTATAGTTTTTTTACATTTATTATATTTTCCTTCAGAAACTTAAAACCATACGTCTCAGAGCCAGAAGAAAACTCAAAGGTCATACACTTTAGCCATTTCACTGAATTTTAGCTACCTGTCACATGGTTGTCCTCTACTGGCTTGAAAATCTTCAGAGGTTAACTATGGACTATGTTTATAGTATACTCTCTCACAAATGCCAAATTAGAGGGAAAGAGAGAATATGAAAAAAGCAACACACCTGTGGTGAGGGCTGAGGAAGATACCCCTGCTGCTGGAGCACAGGCTGGCTGACAGGATGCCCAGAGACAGAGAAGCTGGCAGTAGGGACCGACTGCCCAGGTGGTAGAGGAGGAGGGGGTGGTGGTGGGGGTGGAGGTGGAGGAGGATGTGGGGGGGGTGCTGCCGTCATGATGTAACCAGACTGTTGAGGAGACTGAAGAACGACGGTGGACTGGAACATGGTGGCATGAGGGTCAGAACCATCAGCTGATGGCTGGCGACCAAGACTCATGTGGCTGAACTGAGAACCAAGGTTATCCTGCTGAAAAAGTGGAAAGTTGTAAGTCAGGGAAGCCACTCTTTTGTGGGCCAATCTCACCAGTGAAAAGTACTTTACACACACACAAAACAAAACAAAACAAAACAAAACAAAACAAAACAAAAGAACATTGATACAGGATTTCATGTGTCCTAGGCTCGCCTCAAACTTGGTATGTAGAGGAAGATGACTTGGATTTTTGATCCTATTATCTCTACATCCTGAGCACTGAGATTACAGGTGTAAGCCACAGGATAAAAACCAAGATGTTACCTATATTCTAGGCAAACACTCTACCACCTGAGCTGTATCTCCAGTCCCTACATTTTATATAGTTTTAAACTGAGCTGTTAGAGACTATATGGACATATGAGCAAGAATCGAGAAACAGTAGACTTTGATTTGGGTTACATTTATCTACTGTCTACCTTGAGTGACAGACTGAGAAACACTAAGAATAGCATTTATGGCCAAGTTATTTTTGAGAAATTAAAGAAAAGGACTATATAGTTAGAGTGTCCAGGATACAGAACAACATAGAACCTGAGGGAAGGTATTTTAAAGTAACTCTTCAGAAAATGTTAAATGTGTAATATGAAACTGTCCAGTTTCACTTCTGTATCCTAATAAATATTTAATCTTAATTTAAGTAAATGGAGTTTCTTTTGGTTGTTTTTTTTTTTTTTTTTGAGACAGCGTCTCCCTGTAGCCACAGCTGCCCTGGAACTTGTTATGTAGACCAGGCTGGCCTCAATCTCACAAATATCATCTACCTCTGCCTCCCAAACACTGGAATTAAATGTGTGTACCACTACGCTCAGCTCTAGTTTCTTCTTTTTTTTTTTATAATTGAAATATACTCTAATCTTTTCCTGTGATTTCCATCCTAGGTTTATTTTCAAAATAATCTGTAAATAAAGTATTGTAATATTCCTGCCTTCCTACTTTAGAGTTCATATAGCTGTTTTCTCTCACATCATATCTGTTATACTATTATGGTTGCTTGGTCAGCAACCACTGGCACCCAGCCTAGATTTACATGCCATCTGACAAATGTTTCCTTAACTCAGAAGTGTAAGAACTCTTATTGGTCTATAAAAATACCACTCAAAGGGCTGGACAGATGGCTCAGCAGTTAAGAACACTGGTTGTTCTTGCAGAAGACCTGGGTTTGAATCCCAGCACCCACAAGGCAGCTAACAATTGTCTGTAACTCCGGTCCCAGGGGATCCAACAGCCTCTTCTGACCTCTGCAGGCACTGCATGACATGGGTGCATTTACCTACATGTAGGCAATACACGCGTACACATAAAATTTTTTTTTAAAAAGTTAAAAAAAACCACTCAAATGAGAATACAAGGATTAAAATGGAATATTCCTGCTCTAAGACTGACCAGAAATATATTAGAGGTAACTGGTTTCTAAAGGTGAAAAAAATACCTACTAGATCTAATTACGAAGCAAGATGGCCAAATATTCTTACAAGAGGCAAAGTAATACCACGGTTAGAGTCACTTAGAAGATAGTAATTTTATTCCAATGACAATTTCCCAAATACTTTTGAGCTTTTCTCTTATTATTTTCAGGATGTTTTCAAACTTTGCAAAACCCACCAAACTTTTCTCTCTCTTTCGCAGACTGCAAGTGACTTTGGAAAATCTTTCAGAGCCAAGGATAGTAAAGAAGGCTACCTCAGCTAAAAACAAAAACATTCTCAATAAAACAAGATATTTCCAAAAACCACTGAGAATGGTTTTCAAATAGTTTATAATCTAATGTGAAGGACAGTTTCATTGTGGGATGGCTGAATGATATGAACATATAACATCCCTTGGAAAAGCACACAGGGTATTAGGAAGTTAAATTTTTTTTTTTTTTTTTGGTCTTTTTGAGACAGGGTCTCTCTGTAGCCCCAAGCTGTCCTGGAATTTACTGTGTAGAGCAGGCTGGCCTTGAACTCATAGAGATCTATCTGCCTGCCTCTGTCTCTGGAGTGCTGGGATTAAAGGCATGCACCACCACGCCTGTCAGGAAGTTAATTTTAAAGAACGGAAACATTTATTTAGTGCCTACTTCATGCTTAGAGCCATGCAGAAAGATACTTTGTTGTTTCAGGGTCATGTAACTAACTCCTTGAAGGTCTGAGATCTTGCCAAGAACTATAATTCAGGGCATGCTTTAGATTAAAGTTATTAAAGCCAAAGATTAAATATCTAGGGATCTTTGAAAATAAAATTAGAATTTCTCTATAGCTGCATGCTACTGGGCAGAAAATACAAAATGTGAAGCCAGATGAAAGCTGCCATCCCAGGACTGTGTAGATCCAATACTGACTCCAATAAGAAAGGTAATTAAAATAATTGAGGACTAGAATAGTCATCTTGAATATTACTTCATTGAAAAAAGCAGTAATAAAAATAAGGTTTAAAAAGTCACTATAGGCCGTGTGTGCTGGCACACGCCTTTAATCCTAGAACTCGGGAGGCAGAGGCACACAGACCTCTGTAAGTTCCCGGCCAGCCTGGTCTACACAGTGAGTTCCAGGACAGCTGGGGCTACAGGGAGACCCTATCTCAAAAAGATCAAAAGAGAGAAAAAAGTCACTATAATATACTGATTTAACCATTGACTTAAGAATGGGAATAAATCATCACTAATATGGGTTACAAAACATTTGTTGCATATGTACCTGCCTTTAAGAAAAATTGAAAAGAACATGTTACATTGATCACAGTCTGATGCATTCATCACACATAGCTCACGATAAAAATGAGGAGGTGAAAAGAGATACAGTACCGCGGAGTACTGCTGGGTGGGTGAGACTGGCAGGAGCGGGGATGGGTAGGGGGCTGGAGAGCACTGAACAGGCTGAGAAGAGGACTGCAGAGGACCAACAGGCTAGGAATAACAGGTGGGAAAACAGTTAATGTCAGAAGGAAATGTTACAAGAATTGCATAGCATCGAAATTCACAACTTTGGGCCAATAGCTCTAACATTTATAAAGTCATTTAAAATACAAGAGAATCAACAAGAAAAAGAATGTCAAACAAAGAAACACTATCAGTAAGAACATACTTATGCCTAAATTGATTATAAAATGAGAAAGATAAATGTATTTTTCTGAAGATTACTGGAAAGAGGTAATATAGCCATCTTAAGTCCTTGGGTTATGTCAGTAAAAGTAAAATGTCTTACCCTATTCTCATGGTTTCTATGACAGGGCTGTCCTATGTTTATGTTGCTCTAAGAAACAAGAGCAACTAAATCATAAATGAAAAAAAGCTTCACTTTTTCTTAGATAGTAAGAACTTATATGGTATCTACACCAATTATTCTATTTAATAAAGCATGCTTAAACTCTTTTTGGGCCAATGCTCCTAACATTTAACTATTTTGTGAGAAAAATGAAATAAGAATAAAAAAGAATAACTCAAGAACAAAACATACCTACTTACATACATACAACACATGACACGCATAAACACACAACTTTTATATAAGGAAGATAAACAATTTCTTTGTGGCTAAAGATTATCTTTATTAAAATAAAAGTTTGTTTTTTTTTTTTTTTCCTGTTTGAAGCAGGGTCTCCCTGTAGCCCTAGCTGTCCTGGAACTCACTATGTAGACCAGGCTGCTGGCCTTGAACTCACAGAGATCTGCCTGCCTCTGCCTCCCAAGTGCTGGGACTACAGGCCTGCGCCACCACGCCCTGCTAAAAGTTTGTTTTATTAAATACACAATAGCAGCTGAGAAACTAGGTACTAGAAATCTTTAGCCACAAATGAAATACTCTTATGTTTTAGGAAAAAAGACTTTGATTTCCAGAGACACGTTAAAAAACAAACTGGGTATTCTTAAGAAAAGTAAGAGAGAGTAAAAACAATATTTTTTAAAATTATTATTTATTATTTTTATTTTACATCTATGAGTGTATTGCCTGCATGTAGGTAAAAGCGCCTGTGTCATGCAATGCCCACGGAGGACAGAAGAGGCCATCGGATCCCCTGAAGTGTAATAGTGTATTGCCTATATGTATGTAAGTGCACCCATGTCATGAAATGCGGTGGAGGTCAGGAGAGGGCTTCGGAGTCCCCTGGAACTGGAGTTAAGTTTGTAGCCGCCATGTGGGTTCTGGGAATCGAACCTGGGTCCTCTGCAAGAGCAGTCAGTGCTCTTAATCGCTGAGCCATCTCTCCAACCCCGAGTAAGAACAAATTTTAATCACCCAATCTTTTTTTAAAAAATATTTTATTACTTTTATTTTATGTGTATGCGTGTATTGCCTGCATATAAGTAAGTGCACCTGTGTTGTGCAATGCCCGCGGAGGACAGAAGAGGCCCTGGGATCCCCTGGAACTGGAGTTACGGACAACTGCTAGCTGCCATGTGGGTGCTGGGATTTGAACCAAGGTCTTCTACAAGAACAGTCAGTCTTCTTAACCACTGAACCATCTCTCCAGCCCCTTGATTTTGTTTTAATGTTTCATTACAAACCATGTAATATTTACATGGGTTTAACTACCACCAAAATGTACTTTATAGATGACAAATCTGACTCAGGCTAATTAAATGATTTGCATAATGCCAGATAAGCAAGCAGAAGAGGAACTTAGGTAATTTTATCTAACTAAAAACTCTTTTGGTTAAAATGTACATTCCTGAATCGTGCTCTGAATAATACTTCAGAAAAGAATAATTTCAAAATGCAAGATGAAGGGCTGGAGATGGCTTAGCAGTTAAGAGCACCGCTGCTCCTGCAGAGGATCTGAGTTCCATCCCCAGTACCCACATGGTAGCTAACAACTGTCTGTAACTCTAATTCAAGGGTATTTGACGCCCTCTTCTGAACTCCACAAGCACTGTACAATATGGGTACACCTAGCTACATGCAGGCAATACACTCATACACACACAAAATATTTTTAAAAAAAGACATAACCTTCCTTCATACAATCTAACCTATGCAAGTGTCAGATGAATAAAAAACTTAGATCTGCTGGGGAATGGAAGGAATACTGTGAGCATCCATTGCATGAATGAATGTCTCTTACAATGCTAAATGGCAGAGGGAACTGTGTGTGTGGTCTAGAAGACTGGCTGAGCAAAGCAGAACTCAGAACTCCCTTTTCCTACCCAAATGGCACCCGGCTGCAAAGCAGTATCTACTGTAGTGATTGGTTTCACCTTGTATGTTCAGGAAATGTAGCTCCTTTTAAGGCTTTGGAATTCAAAGTATTCTTGTGTTTGGTTAGTGAAATTCCATCAATCAATTATCTCAGAATATAGAAAAGATAGTAACTGGGAATTACTTAGTCATTGGGTTTTTTGCTTGTGTGATTATCTACCTACAACTTTTTCTTTTTTTTTGGTCTTTTTGAAGCAGGGTCTCCCTGTAAGCCCCAGCTGTCCTGGAACTTACTATGTAGACCAGGCTGGCCTTGAACTCACAGAGATCCACCTGCCTCTGCCTCCCTAGCCCTGAGATTAAAGGCGTGTGTCACCATGCCCAGCTTATTTATTTATTATTTTTATTTTATGTGCTTGTGTGTATTGCCTGCATGTAGGTAAGTGCACCCGTGTCGTGCAATGCCCTCAAGAGTATACAGAAGAGGCTGTCAGATCCCCTGGAACTGGAGTTATAGACAGATGTTAGCTGCCATGTGGGTGCTGGGATTTGAACCCGAGTCTTCTGCAAGAACAGACACTGTTCTTAACCGCTGAGTCATCTCTCCATCCCCAAGTCATCTGTTTCTAAACTATACTGTCCATACATTCATTTATGATAGTCTTACAAATATACCAGACAAAATTAATTCTATACTCAATCTCTGTCAAAAGGCCAGACAATCATAGGCAGTTTTTTTTTTAATTAAAAAAAGTTTCTTTTTATTTTTTATTTTTATTTTATGTGTATGTGTGTCTTGCCTGCATGTAGGTAAGTGCACCCATGTCATGCAATGCCAGCAGGGGGTCAGAAGAGGCTGTCAGATCCCCTGGGACTAGAGTTACAGACAGTTGTTAGCTGCCATGTGGGTGCTGGGATTCCAACCCGGGACTTCTGTAAGAACCAGTGTTTTTTTTTCTTTTATTTTTCTTGGATCTGAGGACAAAACCCAGGGCTTTGCACTTACTAGGCAAGTGCTCTACCACTGAGCTAAATCCCCAACCCCATAACCAGTGTTCTTAACTGTTGAGCTATCTCTCTAGCCCCAGCAGGCAGTTATTTCTAAGAAACAAGAATCTGAGACATAAAACCACACACAAATCCTTTAAGTTTCTTAATGCTTTAGTACTAACATTATTTTCATCAAATTAAATAAAAGAAACTCTTTGGGAGCAAGTTGCAATAAGCCAAGGTAGAGCAGGCCATGGAAGGAATTTTAGGTGACCTTGAGTATGTGCAACCAAGTGGGGTTGTGAGGAGACGTGGGAGGTCTCTGAAGAGTTTATATAATCTCCTCTTGTTTATATGGATATTTTTTGTACTGTCTTAGAATTATTTTAGTACCTAAAATCCTTTACTTGTCCAGGAGTGTTACAGAGATCAACTGTTTCCATGACTTTCACACTATTGATAATATAACTAAACTACTTATAAATGTTCTTCATCCCACAAATACCATTATACAAATAATGTATGTTGTGAGAAATATGATGAAATTTCTCCAGCTCATGCTTATCATTATATTTCTCTTAGGAGAAATGACACTGTCTAGACTCACCAGTGGAAGTCTGGTGATGGTCTTGAAAAGAAAAAGGTATTAATGAATATCTAAATATCCTTCATGTTCTATATAATTTTTAAAACTTGACTTAAAAACAGGAATTATGCCGGGCGTGGTGGTGCACGCCTTTAATCCCAGCACCCGGAGGCAGAGGCAGGCAGATTTCTGTGAGTTCAAGGCCAGCCTGGTCTACACACTGAGGTCTAGGCTAGCTGGGGCTACAGGGAGACCCTGTCTCAAGAAGACCAAAAAAAAAAAGGGATTATATTGATGTAATCAAGTTCTCCAAAGATGGACAACACATTAGGGGACAAGAAGACAATGTAAATACATATAAAGATTTATATAAATTCAAGGTATTATTAAGAATATGCTTAAGAATTCAACTCTCATGGGGCCTGCAAGGTGCCTGACAACTTGAATTTCACAATCAGCCCCTTCAAATTGTTCTTTGACCACCACATGCATGCTTTGGCACATGCTCCTGTTCACCTTTACACAGACACACACAATCAGAAACACACACATGCATGCATGTGCAAATAAATAAAATAAAGAATTCAACTCCCATAATCTCTTTTTCTCAGGGTAGACAGAATATTCTGCAAGGTGTGAGCAACCCACTTCATTTTTTCTGTTTGAACTCTTACTACCTCATTTTGTTTACTAGGCCAATGAACAGTCTTTGATTTTATTTCTCCTCTTGTCTTTTTGCTATAAAATAGGGATAGAATAATTATGTTTGGCTCAAGAGATAAAACCACTGCCTTCTTTCTTACTGATTTTCAGTATTTGTTACCATAGCATTACATAATCATTGGTATGTGCACCTGTGAGAAAATGTGATTGGCTGCTGGCTGCTGAGATGGTGGGGGTGGCAGAGGTGGCTGTGGAGGTCCAGGCACTTGGGTTCGAACTGGCTGTTGAGTCATAGGAGGATTGTACACAACTGGACTCCCATCTGGGTTTATGAAGGGCTGACCTGAAAAGTTGAAAAAGGAGGAAAGACTCAATGTATAACAAAAGATTGACAATAAAAGTCACTAACAATTTATAAAACATGTCCACAAATCCCTTACCCAAAATTCCACCACTAAAAAAAAAAAATTCTTAATTTGGAAAATACCAGTTTAAAATGAGGCTATTAACAGCCTTTATTTTTCCATTTCGAATAAATATTCAAATGTTTACTGCTGCTTTTTTGAAAGATGTTGTTTAGATCCTACTGCATTTACTACATAATCAGAAAGTATTTTCTAGAAAGTAGTTGAATTCTGAATCTCACTTTGCCCCAGGCATCCAGTTATAGGACTGTGGTTTTGCTGAGAGAGAGAGAGAGAGAGTGAGAGAGAGAGAGAGAGAGAGAGAGAGAGAGAGAGAGAGAAAGACCAACACTCCCACCTCTGTCTAACTTCACCACTACCATTAGGGTTAGAATGTATTTCAGTTCAAATAAAGTGCTTGATTTTAGAATACCAGGAAACTATTCAAAAGTCTTTAATAGAGGGTGGGAAATAATCTAGTTCTTAGCCCACACTGAATATATTTCACTTAAAAAAAAAGATAAAATATCAATGATTGACAGCTTCAAACTTCTATGAATTCAGAATTCAATGGCAGTAGATCATGAATATTAAACAAATTTCCCTACCTGTAAAAGGGGATTTCACCTACCTAACAAGGTCATTACAAAGATTATAATGCATTTAAAGTATCTATCATAGTATATGGTTCAAAGTAAATGTTCAATAGTTAATGTCAAGGATTTAATAACACATATTAACAAAATTAATTTATAATAACTAGCCATTTCCTTTAACAAATAAGGAAAACAAATATCCTTTTTTGCTTTTACTGAGTGGAAAATAGTTACCATGTTCTCAAGAGCATTATAGATTGCCCCCACCACTTGGTTCTATATAAAATGCATATTATTTGCTACATAATAAAACACTGTGTCACAGTAAGTTCTCTCAAAGGTAGTTGTTTCACGTCTATGGAATGAATTGTTTAACTAGTTATGCCATTCTTCAGCCTATACTTAACAGATGTTTTGAAGAATATATAAATCTTTTAACATTTTCTAGTATAAATGTTTCTATGAAAGTTTTCAGGAATATATCTATCTGCAACACACACACATGTAAATATTACATTTTTTTGACTTTATTTTATGTGTACGAGTGTTATGGCTTCATGTATGCAAGTGTACCCATGTCATGCAATGCTTGAAAAAGACAGAAGAGGGTGTCGGACCCTCTGGAACTGGAGTTTCAGATGGTTGTTAGTTGCTACATGGTGCGGGACATAAACCCAGGTCTGTGAGAACAACTAGTACTCTTAACCGCTGAGCCATCTCTCCAGCCCAGTATTACATTTTAAAGAAGTACTTAATGCTGGGCAAAGTGGCACATGCGTTTAATCCCAGCACTTGGGAGGCAGAGACAGGTGGATCCCTGTGAGTTCAAGGCCAGTCTGGTCTACACAGCAAGTTCCAGCCAGTCAATCAAATTCTGTCTCAAAAATAAAATAAAATATCTTAATTTTCAGTCATTTCCAGCTATTGTAAATTAAATAAACTTTTTCTGGTCACTTACCTGTTTGTGGGTTGATCAGAATACTGCCAGGTGGTATGCCAGATGCTTCCAAGGGCAGCAAAAGGAAGCTAGTGCTAGGAGATGTGACTTGCCCATTGAGACCTCCATCGAAGGAGAGAGAACTGTGAGCGCTGGCAGATGGGTAAACGACAGGTGTGCCATGAGAAGACTGGCTGAGAGCTGAACCTGGAAGAGGCTGCTGGGTCTGAGAGAGAGAGCCCGTGGAGGACCCTATGCTACCTGAAGACTCAGAACCTAGGGCAGGAGTAGTGAAAAACATGGATTTTTTTTTTTAAAGCCATATAAAGACACAGGCTTAAAAAATATAATTCACATTATACAACATGCAGTTACCAATTACCATATAATAGCAGTAGCTATTATGATTTACTGTCAAGGTTTTTTTTTGCTTACCCTATCAAACACAAACAAGTATGTAATATAGAAAACAACAGCACAGAAGTTGTCAGAAAACTCATGGCCAAAGCAAGCATGCAAAACTTGCCAAAGCAAGTTTACAGTAACACCAGCCACAGACAGCCAAAGAAGCATGTTATCAATAGTCTCAATAGGCGTTAAATACTTTTTACCTTTTAGATTAACACTTAGAATATACAGACTACAATTTCCCCAGGAAAAAGAACTTAGCATGGCCAAATGCCCAAAATCTCTTATTTCTATAATGTAAACTCAACTGCCAATACTTTTTATTCAATGACAGAAATAGTATAAGTATTTCAAGAACATTTACATCAGCTTAAAACTGATTTCTCACCAAACTTAATAAACAAATCTGATGATTGAGTTTTGACTGCTTTCAAGCCTACAATCGATTTAATGAACTTAATGGCTAATTATAATATACTATATATAGATTGCCTTCTAAAAGAAACTTCTAATTGAAGTTTTATCAAAATAACACGATAAGAATTCAATGTATCCTAAGAATGAAGAAATAATAATTTTCCCTATCAAATAATATTTACCTTCATCTCTGAGGATAAAATACAATTCCTTTTAAAAATTTATTTTTATTAGTGTGTGTGTGTGTGTGTGTGTGTGTGTGTGTGTGTGTGTGTGTGTTTGTCTGTAAGCACACATGTGGTGGTCAGGGAACAACTTCTGAGTCAGTTCTTTCCTTCCAACATGGAATCTGAACTCAGGCTATCAGGTTTGCACAGCAAGTACACTGACTTGCTGAGCAACCTTGTCAGCCTTAAGTTAGGTTCTTAAAATGCTTTAACTTGGCATGGCCTAGATGATTTTTTTCATGTTTTGGAAATAGTTTTGTTCTGTTATGACCAAGTGCCCAATTTTCTAATAAATGTACATAAGACATAAACAGGTTTTAAAAAATACTCATGAAATTTGCCTATCAGTATCTTATAGCCACTAAGACTTCAACAGATCTAAATTTTAAGTAAATAATGTATGAGTTTCAATTCATAGGCATTAGCAACTTAAAGCTCAGACTTTAGTCAGGTATTAAATAAGTACTGCTACCTTAATATTCCTTTCAAATATACTTGTACCACACTGTATGACTAACCTAATCCAAACAGAATTGGGAGAAAAAGCTACTTCTGACTTTCATGTTTATTTTGAGATAAAAATACAGATCTGCCGGGCATGCTGACTTTAGTTCCAGCACTCAGGAGGCAGAGGCAGGTGGATCTGTGTGAGTTTAAGGCCAGCCTCATCTACAAGGTATGTTCCAGGCCAGCTGGGGCTACAGGAAGACCCTGTCTCAAAAAGGCCAAAACAACAACAACAAAAAAAGCCTCAACAAAACAAAACAAAAAAACCCAGATCTACAAAAATCCAAAGATACCTGAGATTCTTTAGTTCTCTAGTCAGTTAGTGAAAAGGAAGAGAAAATGTTATGATCCACTGTATTTAAAGTGCAAAGTAGCTAAAATAATGAACAGATGACAGGGTCTCCCTATAGCCCCAGCTATCCTGGAACTCACTATGTAGACCAGGCTGGCCTTGAACTCACAGAGATCTGCCTGCCTCTGCCTCCTGAGTGCTGGGATTAAAGGCGTGCGCCACCACGCCCGGACTTATTCACTTTTTTAAAAGGAAAGAATCATAAAAAATGTAATCGATATTTGACAGCTTGAAACACAATGAATCGTATGTAAGAAGCCATGCTTTTCACTATAAGTACTGAAGGATTTCCAATCATCTCTGGGCACTCAAACAAGAGGTGGGTTACTGAATCACCAGATTTAGATTTCTATCACAATAGACAAGATGTTTTTCTTTTACTTTGTAAATTATCTTCCAGGACAAAATGAATTCCAATGCCAGAAGAGCCGTAACCTTTATATTCCCTATATGTATCTAGTGAGCTGCAGTTAACTTACATTTCAGCATAATTAGAACCATACGAAGAAGAGCTAAGTAGTGTTATGACTATACAGTTCTAGGTAGATATTTATACCTGTTTTTGAAAGCCTGCCTATGCTTTTGCTGCTTCCAGAACTATCACCTCTGGTTAAGACTGAGATTCCACTAAAGCTGCTGGCTTTGGTTACAGCAGGCTTTAGGTTCCGAAGAGAACTGTCTGAATCTGTGCTGCTCCAGGGTCGTGGCTCTGAGTATTTCAATTCGTTCTCAGTGCTGCTCTGATGGCTATTTGTTGATCTCCCTGAAGCATCTTTATTAACTCTGTAAGTTAAAAATAAAACTTTGAAAAGCTAATAGGGGGAAAAAAGAGAGGAGGAAAAAAATATATGCTTTAATTTTTTAACGGTCTCCAGAAAACATGCTTCCAATACCTAAATATCTGGCGCCTCTGCTGGGTACTATTAGCATCTTCATCTTGGATTCTGTTGGCATTTTAATAAGACATTTTAATTTTCATTAGCATCAGTCAGATAGTAACCAAAATAGATTTTAAATATATCTTACCTTTTGTCAATAATGTAGTTCTCTTGCGAACACAGGGACTGAAAAAGAAGATAAAAAAGCCCTGAGCTTTTGTCAAGTACATGTCATCTATACACCAATGGTCAACAACAAAAACTGTTTGCATTGATAAAAAGTATTTCCTCTACCAAATAGTACAAATAATTAATGGAATTTTCAAGGGCTGGAGAGATGGAGAGAGCACTGGCTGCTCTTGCAGAGGACCTGAGTTCGATTCCCAGCACCCACATGGTGGTTAACAACGGTCTGTAACTCCAGTTCGAGGGGATCTGATGATTCTGACTGCTGCAGGGACTGCAAGACACTGGTGCACTTACATGCAGGCAAAACACTCATACACATGAAATAAAAATAATAAAACATTTTTAAAATAAAGGAATTTTCCATGGCTGGAGGCACTATGATTATTTTTACTAGATTATGTATCTTGGAAGTCATTTATCCTGTAGTCCAAATTAATCTGAAATTTAAATATTCTTTTTTTTTAAATGGACAAATTCTTTTTTTTTTTTTTTTTTTTTTTTTTGAGGCAGGGTTTCCCTGTAGCCCTAGCTGACCTGGAACTCACTATGTAGACCAGGCTGGCCTTGAACTCACAGAGATCTGCCTGCCTCCCCAACCCTCCACCCCCCATGGCTGTGATTAAAGTTATGCACCACCACACATGGCTGACAAATTCATTTTTATTAATCACATATTCAAGGTCTACATATTCTATCTCATTTACACATGTTTAACAACTATTTGATTACTGATAATCAAAAGCTGATGAATAGTTGGTGAGATGGCTCAGAGGGTAAACACACCAGCTGCTAAGCCTAAAGACCTGACTTTGATCTTTAGGACCTATATGGCAGAAGCGAAAACCAACTCCTGGAAGTAGTTCTTACTTGAAAGCTGTGACACAGCTTTCAAGCACACAAGTGTATACACACACACAAAAACACACATACAAATAACATTTCTATCTATGAACATGGCAAGACACATTATGTGCAGATACAGCAGAGATACACAAAAGTCATTAAAGGTCTTACAGTTAAAATCTTCCAGGGATGTTAATCTAAGTCAGGCAGTCATCACTTCTACTTGTATTATTATAACAGTCTATTAATGATGGCTATCATACTAGTTAGATTTAAGTAGATACAAGTATATGGTTGAAGAAGCTTGAGAGAACCTCATCACTTCTACTTGTTTTATTATAACAGTCTATTAATGATGGCTATCATACTAGAGTTAGATTTAAGTAGATATAAGTATATGGTTGAAGAAGCTTGAGAGAACCTAAAACCTGTACCAACACGCTTTACATAACTAATATGGAAAGGATTTAGGCACCTCAGTAATACAAAGAAGCACACCTCAACTTAATTCTCATATCAGAATCATAAACAACAAAAGAAATTCACATGCCAAAATCACAATGAAAGAATAATAAAACGGAAGCGCAAAACACTATGTCTGCACCAAACTCCACCAGTCGTGTAGAAGAGTCCTATAAGGAGAACTCATAAGAGATAAACCAGGACACTGAATTTAAAGAACAATCATAAACATGATCAAGGAATTCAACAAATTAAAAGAACATGAACAAACAAATCAAAGAACTAAAAGAAGATAGGGATAAACTTCTGAATGAATTCACAAAAGAGATAGAAACACTGAAGAAAACTCAGGCAGAAATTAAGAAGGAAAGTACAAAACTCAATAAGCCAACTTGAAACAACAGGGGAACGCCTCACCACTGGAATGAATGAGATGGAAAAAAGAATATCAACACTGGAGGATAAAGTTGAAGAATTGGACCACTCAAGCAAAGATTATGGAAAATTTTTAAAAACACAGGAATGGAATATGCAAGAGATATGGGACACCATGAAAAGACCAAATCTATGGATCATAGGAATAGAGAAAGGAGAAGAATTTCAGGTTAATGTTCTTGACCAGATCTTAAACAGGATTGTAGAAGAGAATTTCCTGAAATTAAGGAAAGACGTTCCCATATGAATACAGGAAGCACATAGAACACCAAATAGACAGGATGAGAAAATAAACTCTCAACAACACATAACAGTAAAACACTAAATGTACAGAACAAAGAGAGAACACTGAAAGCAGCAAAAGAAAAACAGCAAGTCACATACAAAGGAAAGCCCATCAAATTACAGCTGACTTATCAATGCAAATTATGAAAGCCAGAAGAGCCTGCACCAAGATATTTCCAGTTCTACACAACAGATGCCAGCTCAGAATACTTTACAGCAAAAATGTCTATTATAGTTGAGGGGGAAAGAAAAATCTTCCATGACATGAATAGCCTGAAAAAAATACATGTCCACAAAACCAGCCCTTCAAAGAATACTTGAAGCAATACAGAGAGCAGAGAGAGAAACAACTATACCCCAGGGGCAATGAAAGAAATTAAAGGTATAATGGAGGAAACACAAAATTAGAGAACACAAAGAACAATCAAAATGACAGCAACCAATACACATCCTTCAATAATAACCTTAACTATCAATGGACTGAACTCCCTAATCAAAAGACACAGGCTAAGTGAATGGATTAAGAAACAAAATTCATCTCTTTGCTGTCTGCAAGAAACCCATCTCGCCTTCAAGGACAGGCACTACCTTATGGTAAAAGAATGGAAAAGACTATTCCAAGGAAAAGGCACTAGCAGGGGTTGCAATTCCAATATCTGATGAAATAGACTTCAACGTAAAACTAATCAGAAGACATAAGGAGGGTCACTTCATTCTGATCAAAGGAAGAGTTAAACAAGAAGTTATTACAATCCTTAACATTATATGCACCAAACTCTGGTGCACCCAAATTCATAAAAACAATAATACTACAGGACTTTAAGATACAGATTAACCCCAACTCAGTAATAGTAGGGGACTTCAGTACCCCACTGTCTCCATTAGATAGGCCATCTGGAAAAAGAATAGAGAGACGTCTGAATTAAATGATATCATACATCAAATGGACCGAAGAAACATCTTTTGAATATTCCACACAAGCACCAAAGAACACACTTTCTACTCAGCACCCTATGTTCAAATATTGACCACATACTGGGCCACAAAACAAACCTCAACAAATACAAAATATTCAACCCAGCACCAAAGAATACACTTTCTGCTCGGCACCCCATTTCAAAAATTGACCACATACTGGGCCATAAAAAAACCTCAACAAATATAAAAAAAAAATTGAAATAATTCCATGCATTTATCGGACAACCCAATAAAGCTCAAACTCAACACTGGAAAAAGCCCTAGTCACTACACAAACTCATGGTGATTAAACTACACACTCCTAAACAATGAGTGGGTAAAAGGCGGAATTAAGAAAGAAAAGAATTCCTGGAATTCAACAAAAAGGACAATACAACACAACACAACCTCTGGGACACTTTAAAAGTAGTTCTAAGAAGGATGTTTACACCTCTAAGTGCCTACATTAAAAAATTAGAGCCGGGTATGGTGGCCTACACCTTTAATCCCAGCACTTGGGAGGCAAAGGCAGGCGGATCTTTGTGAGTTCGAGGCCAGCCTGGTCTACATAGTGAGTTCCAGGACAGCTGGGGCTACAAGGAGACCCTGTCTCAAAAAAGACAAAAAAACAACAAAACAAAACAAAAAATTAGAAAGAGCCCAAATAAATGACCTAACACAGCAACTCAAGGTGCTGGAAAGGCAAGAACAAATGAAACCCAAACCCAGCAGAAGAGAAGAAATAACAAAAATCAGAGCAGAAATTAATGAAATAGAAACAATGAAAACAATACAAAGACTCAATGAATCTAAGAGCTGGTTCTTTGAAAAGCTAAACTGAGAGACCTGAGTGACTCCACCTTGGATAAAACCTCTATAGGACTGACCCAGCCCTGGGCCCTGTTCCAAGAAAAACCACAATACTTGGAACAGATAGAGAACAACTCCCCCGCCAACAGTCAATTATCCAGGGACAGGAAAGTACTAAAAGTCCAGATATCTTTTCAGATTTCCTGCAGCCAGCAGTTTATGGTTTGGCACTGAGCTGCAACCAATCAGATGTTTGCCAGGCTGAAGACCCCCTACTCCCCTACTTGCTGAACTTGCTGAAATAAACCTATAAAAACCTGTCTCCCAAAGCAAGGGGTCTCATATCTGAGATCCACTGAGTCGGTGACCAAGTGGGCCCAAGCTTAAGCTTGTAACAATAAAAGAACCCTTGTGTATTTGCATCGGTCGGCTCCTTGGTGGTCTTTGGGGTCTCGCGAACTGGACACAAGAAAACAAGATAGACAAACCCTTAGCCCAGTTAACCAAAAGGAAAAAAAAGAGCAAATCTAAATCAACAAAATCAGAGATGAAAGGGGAAACATCACAACAGACACCCAAAAGATCCAGACCATTATAAGGGAATATTTTAAAAACCTATATGCTAATAAATTTGAAAATCTAAAAGAAATGGATGGATATCTAAAATCATGGGAAGCACCAAAGTTAAACCAAGAAGCGGTCAACAGTTTAAATAGACCCATAACATATAAGGAAATTGAAACAGTAATACAAAGCCTCCCAACTAAAAAAGATCCAGGCCCAGATGCATTTATGCAGAATTCTACCAAATATTTAAAGTAGACCTCCAATCAATACTACTTAAATTATTCAAAACAATAGAAAGAGGAGGGAGAACTCCTAAATCCTTTCTATGAAGGCACCATCACTCTAATACCCAAACTGGGTAAAGACACAACAGAAAAAGAAAACTATAAACCCATATCCTTAATGAACACAGTTGCAAAAATTCTCAAAAAAAAAAGGCAAACCGCATACAGACACACATCAGAAAGACCATTCACCATGATCAAGTAGGCTTTATCCCAGAGATGAAGGGATGGTTCAATATACCCAAGTCAAAAAATATCACTAATCACATAAATGAATTCAAAGACAAAAAAAACCACACTGTCATCACACAGATGCAGAAAAGGCTTTTGACAAATTTCAGCATGCATTTATGT